ACAGCAGGAGTTCGATCCCTGGCCAGGGAGTTGGCTCACATGGAGCAGCAGACCTCTCCTGACTCGCCCACTGCTCCCCTCAGCAGTGTATTTCAGTCAATCTGCCTGTTCTGTTCTCCACTCTGTCTCTGGTGAATACTCTCACCCCCCACACCTCTGGCCTGTACCCCAGTTCTTGTATGCATAAATAAATCTTTTTAAAAAATTGACATTATGTTACTGTAGACATTATGTTACTTCTTCAGCAGTATACTATGACACATCACTTTACAATTCCCTGGCCAGCTGGAGCTATAGAGTCCTAAATACTTACAATCCATCAATACAAGTAGAAAAAGAAATCACCATATAGGAATGAAATTAGCATGAAATTAGTTAGTTGTGGGACATAAATACAAAGTCTCTTTTACACAAAGTCTCAGTAAGTTAGGGTGTGGTTACACAGATCAAAAAAATAGATCAATTCACTAGGATTGTTCTCCCCTGCCCAAGAAGTCAGGCCATAGTATTATATGAGCTGGCTTTTGAAAGTAATGTATTATTGTATCAAAGTTGATTCAGTCAGTTACTCTCTTCCTAGCAGTGTAACCAGGCTGAGATCAGTCCCAGAAAATAGAACGAAAATTTGGAGGCGAGGACAGAATTCCTATCCTAAAGCTTGGCAATTTGGCTGAGACAGGAACAAAGAAATCAAAAAGCATCAATACTAGAGCTAGCTAAGATGTCATGATTAATAAATGATCTCTGGGGCTCATCTATGTGGGTTGAACTTCTGTTTCCACCAGCTGTGAGAATAAAGAGGAAATTTACATAGCAACTTAAACTTCAGCTTTCTTCTTTGCAAATAAGGTAAAAATAGTAACTAATCCATAGGTGTGTTATGAAGATTTGACTAATATAACACAATCCCTAATACATATTACACCCTCATAAATATTAATTATAATTACTGTGAAAATCTTAACTTCTTGAAGGCCCCTTTTATTTAACGAAGACTCTTATTCCATAATCAACTCATTTTTAAGCTGTGGATCTATAAATTAGAGAGACTGATGAAAGCACAGGCAAGGAAATGAACCCAGGAGCTAATATTTATACCACCATTCCTAGGACACACAGATGGGAAACCCATGGGTTGCCAACCTTACCCAGACAAATCCATCCTGTGAGGTTTCTTTTGAAGCAATAAGACCTGGCTAATTTCCTTGTCTTGTTTCTCTCATTTCTGGGTGTCTTTTATACAATGAAACGAAGTCCAAATTCTGTTCCCAATCAGTTCTGAAGAAATAAAGAAAAACCGAATAAAATAATAAAAATTACAAAAACTGCAAAGCACCTCACACTGAGAGCTGTTGTGGGGTAGATTAAGCCTCTTGGAAAGCATGCCCCACAATTGCATATCTTGATAAATAAGCCAAGGCTGCAATGTGCTTGTGCAGATAATAAGTAGCATGGAACAACTCCCTCTTCTACAAAATCCTGGGATTTATGTCCAGTCTGCCTGCTTCAGAAACTAGAGAATTAACTCATAAAACCAATCCATCAATACAAGTAGAAAAAGGAATCACAGTATAGAAATGAAATTAGCATGAAATTAGTTGTGGGACATAAATAGAGGTACTGACACTTTCCTGCATCTTTTGTATCAAGTGTCTAGAGAACTCACCAAGCTTAGACTACATTTGATGGCCCCTGTGATTTATTTCAACATTTTCTACCCTAGGCAGGTTGTTTGCCAAGTCCTTCAAATATCATTAAGATGAATCAGGAAACACAGATAATTCTTTAAGAGAAGAATATGATCATGGGGGGACACTGCTTATATAGAATATCCACAGTGTGTCATTGCAGCCTCCATAACAGAACATCACTGTATTTATTAATCCATTGCTGCAGAGATTATGGCAATCTGACATGGAGTCCTAATGAATTTTTGGCACATTTTGAAATTGTGACCGCTGTTGCCCAGGGAGCCTCTTAAATCAACCTCCTTTTTACTGCTGTTGCCTTTTCATGGTGTATATCACATTGAGAAATGGATTACACAATCCACAACTTTAACTACCCTGCATTAGTTGATTGTGTACTATGGATGTGTATTGCACAGTGTATGAATCATAGAAGCACTAGGATATGTGTGACACATAATTTAAACATGAAATTGGTGATGGCTGGGACTTGGTAGGAACAGAGGCAGAAAAATAAAGGAAAAAGTCAAGGCAATTGGATGGGAGAACTCAGATATTTGTGACAACTTTAAAATAAACTTATTAATGAAACACAATGTTTAGAGAGAATGCTATTCTACCACTCAAGGAGGTGATTTTTTTAAAAAAAATACCATCCTTTACCCCTCCAGTTACATCTTCTTCTATTCCATCATCCGTTTCCCTCTAGTTTGCGGATTGACATTTAGGAACAAAGGCAATTTATTTCTATGAAGCCTTACTCTTTAAGACAAGTTACACTAAAGATGAAAGAGAACCATGTGTCCAAACTATAGATATACATTGTGAAGTCAGAAAATGTAGGGTTTTACTTACCTCTTGTTACAAATTTGCTTGACAAATGGGCTGGCATCTAATTTAATCAGTGTTTCAATTCCCTACCTTCAAAATGGGATAACAATAACCATTTTTTTTTCCACTTGTTAAATAATCAAATGAGATCTTACATGCTGTTCTAAAAAGGACATTTGGGAAACAAGAGGCATAAATGCACATGGATACATCAGGGGAAAAGGTGTTTATTTCCAGCATCGAAAAACAAGGATTGGAAATGAGGAGTATTATTTGAATTAACCAAAGCTCATTTTCTGTTCAAAGGCCATGTGGTTTTATTCTCTCTGCAGGTCTGTTCCATTCCTCTTTCGAGCTGCCATTTTAGTGAGTTCCTCCCACATCTGGCCCATAATGACTATTCTGGACTTGAACCTATCTCTTGACCTTTTGGCTCAGCTGCTACAGAAAGTCACCTAGTTTCTGTCTGTTTTCTCAATGTGTCAATCTCATTCTGGCATCAAAGGTCTTATATTTTCATTTCCTCCTTCCAGAACTGTCTTCTCTCAATTCTTTGTATGGCTTGCTCCTTCACTTCCTTCAAATCTCTGTTCAAATCTTAACTTCTTAAAAAGGCCTTCTATGACCACTCCAGCATTATACCATCTGATTCTCTTTTTTTCTGTCTTTACTTTCATTTCTTGAATAGTACCTATTGTTATCTGACATTTATTTTTAGTCCTTTCTGCCTAAATATCCTTGTCTGGGAACTTTGTATTCTGTACTGGAGTATTGTCCTTCTCAGAACAATGTTTCACATGATCAGTACTGGTTGAATGTATATTTCATGAAGAAGTAAAAGAATTAATAACTAACTTCCCCAGATTTGTAATTCCAAATTTTTAAGAGAAGAATTAAAAGCATATATTTCATATTTCTCAAGAGAAACTCTTCCAGCTGGCCAGCTTATGAGTTTCCATCCTTGTGTCAGCAGCCTACCTACTGGTCTACTTAGAAAGGGTTGAGAGGGGGCCATTTCACATAGCACAGAGCAGAGAAACTTATAGCACCAGATAGGCAGGCTCCCTAAGGTGGACTTAGGTGGCCCAGTCCTGATGGCACTTTGGGCTTATGGACACAGAGAGGTTGTACACTGTTAGAAATGTCAAGGTCAGGTACTACATTGACTCCTCTAGGTATTAGCCTTATGGTCTCAATCATAAGTTTCCTTATGTTTAATTCTTTATCCTTTCTGTATTTTATATTTAATTTTTATGTGCAGCTAATGATAACCTTAGTCAATGTTTTTGAAATTCCCTATGAATTGACACTTTATCAGCATATCTACGTATCCTGGAATCCTCACGACTATCCTCTGACATTGGTGTTATGATTGCCTTCATTTTGAAGGTGGGGGATTATGAGAATAGAGAGAAAATGTGTTCCCTGAGATGGCTTAGCAAGTAATTAAACAGAACCAGGATTTGAACCCAGGTAGCCTGTTTCTACCTTCCCATCTAAAAAGACTATTTTATACATTTATTCTCCTGTGAGACTTAGCAAGAAGTACTTACATACTTATTCACATTCTGATGAGGCAGCCCCATGGAAATGTGCTTTCAAAATGAGAAAATATTCTGATTAAGCTATTCTTATTAAATAGACATTTAAAATACCTTAAATATAAATTTGGGTCTGCGCATTTTCATAAGCTTAGGACCTAGTATTCTCTATAACGTTTACATCTATTTTTATAGATGCATACCAGAAGTAAAAAAATAATAATAGGCCTCCCCAGTGGCACAGTGGGTTGAGTGCAGTGCTGTGAAGATGTCCACAGCCTCTACCACATGGGTTCAATCCCGGCCGGCCAGTGAGCTACCCACATGGTGCGGCAGACCTCTCCTTTCTCACCCACTGCTCCCCTCAGCAGTGTATTTCAGTCCGTCTACCTGTTCTGCTCCCTGCTCTGTCTCTGGTGAATCCTCTCACCCTCCCGTGCTCTGACCTGTAACCCACTTCATGTATAAAAATAAATGAATCTTTAAAAAAAAGTAATAATAATTTTGCCCAGATTAGCAAATTTTTCAGTTAAGAAAGTTGTCAATTTTTTCAAAACATTTGTTTATTTATGCATACAAGAACTGGGGTATAGGCCAGAGGTGCATGGGAGGTGAGAGGATTCACCAGAGACAGAGTTGGGAAGCAGAACAGACAGATCTACTGAAATACACTGTTGAGGGGAGCAGCAGGCAAGACAGAAGAGGTCTGCTTGCCATGTGGGTTAGCACCCTAGCTGGCCAGGGATGGAACTCCTGCTGCAGCGGCTGGCGATAGCTTGATAGTGCTGTGTATTTAACCCCTGTGCCACCAAGGAAGCCTGAAAGTTGTCAATTTTTACAGTAATCTAATAACAAGACCCTAAAATTCTGTATTCAACTTAATATTTTCTCTTGGGATTTTTTCCAAAAAGTATACAAAACACTTTAAATAAGTCTCCACTAATATTAGGTGTAACAAAAACTTTTTATTTGATTTCTTGAGCTTTGTTTACAATATGAATAATAACACATGGGTATTAGATAGATGCTTGTAAAAGGAGTCATTAAACATTCATAATGTAGCATGTTAAACATGGGGCCCGTATATGATAGTGATATATAGTGATATATAGTGATATATAGTGCTTCCAATTCATTCTGTGGGCTTTTTTCTGAACCACAAAAACAAACTTTCAAAGTCAATACATGACTTCCCCAAATCCTTTGAAATATCACGCAGTGCAGGCAGAAGCCAATAGTATCATCCCTTGCATATTACAGAGCTCTTACCACCACTGACTGGTAGGTACTCATGGGGATTTTCTCTTTAAAAAGACTTGAGTGTTCCCATTACATTAACTTGAAGCAGGTGAGAATTTATTTATCTTTGCGCTTTATAATAAGGACTCTGAAAGAGTTTGAAAAAGGTGAGGTTTGCAAATACCCTTGTACGTACTGCTCTTTTCTCATTAAACAGCATGTTAGTTCTATTCTTTTATTTTGCATGTGTGATTTTTAGAAAAGGTCAGAATGTTCTATAGAGTCTAGATTTCCCTCTTTTTGACAAAGTTGTTCAAGGTCGTCATGGCCCATATTCATCAATCATATGTGCCTCACAGATTTCCTTTGTCATGAATGCATATCAGTATGATTAATGGTTCAGAGTTCATATTCAGAAATCTGATTGGATAACTGTCGTTTCATTTATTGGAACTTATAACTCAAAAAACATTGATGTAGTTGTGCAAAAGAAGAGAGCAATGCAAGTCAGTTTTACTTATTATGAACTACAAAGCTTGGTCATTTGTTAGTGTCAATAGGTTCTGGACTCTGGCATATTCCCTATACCTCAGCTAGGAGATTAGGAAGAGACATTAATTCCTTTTAGTGACTGTCCTGTAGCATTGAAAGAGTAAATATACTGTGCTGAAGGCTTCAGTACTAGAAGATTGAGAGTTTATGAGCTCTTTCATTAGACATTGCTTTTGTTCATTTCTAATAGTGAGTAGTAAATGTTTACGCACTTAAAATTAATTAATTATAAAACTAATTTATACTTATTTAGAGAGATGTATTATTTTTATAATAATACCATTATTAAAGATAAAATTTTTAAAAATATGTTTTCAAACTCTACAGATGACTCTCAGTATTAGATGTGATCTTAGACAGAAGGGAAAGAGAGACTGACTATAGAACATTAAAATAGATTCAAGATTTCCTAGAATTAAAGTAAGTGATAAAAGGTACATTTTAAGTTAGTGTTTTGTTTTCCAAGTATATTGTTTTGATAAAACTGGCTGTCTTTTTGAGGGGGAACTACTCATTCTTTACACTTTAATTTCAAACATAGCATATAATTTTTAAGTGAAATTATAAAATTATTAAAAATTAAGTTAAAACTTTGCTTTGGACTGACTTTTGTGTCAGAAACAAATTAAAAAAGAAAATAATGAAATTTGACTGAATAAAATAGAAAAAACAGTATATTACAAGCAAACTATAAAATCATAGGAACACATGACGAAGTACTTACTTTTAGTATCCTAAAAGTGCTTATTTTTAGTAATCAATAAAAATGAAACACAAACTACAATAGAGAAATGAATGAAGGCAGATACTTTGTCACAAGGGACAAACCAAACAACATGTACTTTTTCGGTGTTCAGAGTATAATAATTATATACTAGTATTTATAAAATCCCTAGAGGTATTTTATTAATAGCCTAGGAAATTTTGGCATAATCAATAAATGGAAAGGATTTTATTGTCAATCAGCCAATGAAACCTAGTCATCTCATTCTTTCCAGGTTAGCTAGTCATCTCAATTTTTTCCAGCTTAGCTAGTATTTAGTCTGTGAAACTAGAGTAGGGATGGGACAAGACTAGCAGTTTCACATGTGATTCTATGTGGAATTCCAAGAATGCCTAATTTTTTTCTAAAATTCACATATAAAAAAACAATGTTTTATCTGTTATAAGATTTATTTGGAATTTAAATACAGAAATGAACAATCGATATTGTTAACAATATTTTTGAATAAACTCATATGATTGATTTTTATGCCTCAACCACTATGAAACTCAGACTATTATTAAAAAGAACCTTCCCCTCCTTTTTAAAACTGAATTCAGGCTTTTGTAGGTCTTTCATAATTTCTGCTTTGAGATCAGGTGGTGCTGTTGTGGTAAAGTTGCAGGTTTCTGTCAAAAAATCCCAAAGCAAGTCTCCATTTTCATTGCCATCAATAAAGCTGTCAGATATATCCATGGTAGACAGAAGGTCATAGCATTCATACTTAAAACCCAACTTGTCCAGCATCTGAGTGAGGTCAGATGATGTTACATACTGGCAAAGGTCATCCAGGGGTAACCGGGGTCCATACTTCTTCCATAGTTTGTTCCAACCACTGGATCCTGTGTGATATAACAAAATCTCTATTTTTATTCATTCTTGTTTTCATTTATGTACTTTGTCAGATAGTACACTAAATGCTTGAATACAGCAGGCAATAAAATAATATTCTTACCTTGTGGAACTCAATTCAAGGGGCACACAGAAGGATGTCAAATAAAGATCTAATTCATATGTCCGATGATGCTAAATGCTAATGAAAAGCATTAGCTAATGAAAAGCAAGGAATATGGAGCATTAAAGAGTCGGATGGGTTGCTGTTTTATATAGTGTGGTCACAAGAGGCTCACTAACATTGTGCCATGTGAGCAGAGACATGATAGCACATGTCAGAGGAAAGTAAGAGGGCAGATTAGTTCAGGAAGAAAGAAGAGTGATTGCAAAGTACCTGAAGCACAACATGTTTAAGGACTAGCCAGGAAGCCAGTGAGATTACAACTGAAAGAGCAAGAAGAAAAGGGGAAGGAAATGTAGTTGGAAGGTGGTGGTATGAGCGGACAGGATATTAAATCATGTGGGGTGAGGTGGGAAGCCTTTGTAGTACTGCCTGATAACACTTTCTGGACTGAAGGACGTTTTATATATGCATTGCCCAGTGTGGTAGCCACTAATCACTTGTGCCTATGGAACATTTGAACTATGGTTTATGTGACTGAGGAAATGAATTTTAAGTTTTACTTCATTTTAATTCATCCCTACTTCAATTTCAATAGGCAAATGTAGCTTGCACATTGGACAACACAACATCAGAGTGATTTAAGCTGATTTATTTTTAACAAGGTTATTCTGCCCACACATGTGCAAATAGACTATAGAAGCATAAGGGCAGAAGTAGGGAGAACAATATGAAGGCTGCTGGGTGACAGATGATGGTAAGTTGGACCAGCAAGCTTGGAGGTGATGATGTATTGGATTTTTTAATATATTGCTCTCCTGGAATCAATAGGATTTGCTAAAAATATGGATATTGGGTGTGAATGAAAGAAAAAAATTCAGTGGTAACATTTTTCCCAAACACCTGAAAAGAGAGAATTGCCATTATTGATGGAAGTTGGAAGAATGAAAGAACAACAGTTTTAAATGTATCATTAGTATCTGGTTTTGGAAATGTAAATTCAAGTTACCTATTGGACCTACTGGACAAGGAGGTGATAGGCAAGAGACAATTATTTATGTTAGTCTTGAGTTCAGAGGAGATGGTCCAGGAACAAAAATTGAAATGGAAAGTAAGAGCACAGAAAATAAAATGATGATTTACTTAAGCCAGAGACAGGGCAGCCATTCATGTCTATCCACTTGTGAGATGCTGGCTTGGACTGCCAATACATTGATTTCTACAAATTTTGTTCCAAACTTTAAAAGATATTTTAGCAATGTCTGTTGTACTTGTTGAAAACCCAGTCCAGCATGGAAGCTAAGAGATGCAGCATCTGAGAGATAGCAACTTAGTTTGGGCTGTTTTTCTGACACTTTATGAATAGGTTGAAGTTTGTTATTTAGTCTCAAAGAACTACAGTTTTGTCATCTATCAAATGGGGATAGCAATTCTTACCTCAATCAATTTTAAGTATTAAATGAGATAATTTTAATGAATCATTCACAATGCCAATAAGAACACAGAATGTGATAACCATTTGCACAATAAATGGATATTATATGGAATTACTTTGGCAATATATTTCTGCCTGTTATAATCTTAAGATGTGGGAAAGCAAATTTACTGTTCAGAAAAATCTAGAACAATATAAAGAAAAACAAATGAGCATCTAGAATGGACTTCTAATACATGCAGACCTATAGGGCTGTTATATATATGTACTATAGCATACAGTGATTAAAAGTGGTTTCTAAAGCTCACTGTCCAAGTGTGAAGATTGGCATTTTCTCTTACTTACTTTGTGAACCTGGTCTTAGTTTCATCATCTGTGAAATCAGGATAATATTTTGTTTCAAGGATTCATTGAGTTAATAAAGGGACTTTGAACCATGCCGGCAAATAATGAACATTGTCAAAATGTTAGGGAATTTAACTGGGGTGGGCCAAAACAATGTAAGAGAAAACCTAGTTTTTATGAGCTTCCAGGATAAAAATGAAGATTTTTTAAAGGCTTGACATATTTGATCCCCAAATCTCTTTACAATCTAACGAGAGCAACAGACTCTCCAGGAAAGTACACAAACAATACATACCCACACAGTTCCACATATCATTATAGGATCTTAAAGATTCCTGACCACATCCATGGATTATGCTAAAGTCCATGATTTAACTTAACAAAAGACTATCCAAGGCAGGCATTGGTAAATATTGAATAGTATAGATAATTGATTTTCCACACATATTTCATTAGGGAGAAAGATAACTGCAGTACTGCTCTAGGAAAAGGAAGACTTGGAATGAAGCAGAAAAACAAACAAACAAAAAAAAAAAAAAACCTCAGTTCAATGAAAAAAGTGCGGGTCTTGAGTGTGGATTAAAAACCATTCATTTTGAGTATTACATCCCAGACTTCAAACAAACAATACTACAAAGCCATTATAATAAAAACAACATGGTATTGCAACAAAAACACATACAGACCAATAGAATCAAATTGAAAGCCCAGAAATATAAACCACACATATATAGTCAACTAACCTATGACAAAGGAGCAAAGATTATACAACAAGGAACAAAGGAAGCCTCTTCAATAATTGTATTGGGAAAGTAGGGCAGCCATATGCAAAAGAATGCAACACTTACTATCTCATACTATACACAAAAATCATCTCAAAATGGATGAAAGAGTTGAATGTAAGACTTGAGACCATAAAATATACAGAAGAGAGCATAGCAAAACACTCTATGACATACACCTCAGGAAAATTTTTGAGGAGTCATCTCCAGAAGCAACAAAGGACAAAATAAACAGCTGGGTCTACAAAAACTAAAAAGCTTCTGTACAGGAAAAGAAACAGTAGCCAAAATGAGAGACGTTCTACTGAATGGCAGAAAATATTTGCACATCATACAGTGGATAAGGGACTGATATCAAAGATCTACAAAGAGCTTACACAACTCAAAAAATCCAAGCAGACAACCCAGTCAAAAAATGGGTGGAAGAACTAAAAGGACACTTCTCCAAAGAAGATATGTAAATAGCCAATAGGCATAAAAAAAATTCAACATCACTAATTATCAGGGAAATGTAAATCAAAACCACAATGAGATACCACTTCACACTAGTGAGATGGCCCATAAAAAAAAAAAAAGAAAAAACATTATGATAAAATTAAAAAAAAAATCATTCCAAGGACAGTGGTTATCTTCCCAAATAAGAATTTGTCTAGAAGAAAATAAATATTTCAGTGGTTCTGGAGAGGTTCTGCTATCATTTTTTTTTTTTAACCTGGCAGAGGAAAAAGAACCAAACATTAATTGCAGAAAATTTGCTTGTGTCAGTATCCTGTGACTTAGTGCCATTTCTGAACTGAGCAATTATACACTTTCTGACTGATGCATTATCATAATGGCTCTCAGTGGGCAGGGCATATGGTATTATTTTTGTTTTCAACATGCTATAAACCAGATTCTTTACTCTCACTGTGTTAACGATTATACACTATGATTTGCCTTCTTTCTTAGCCAGGTAGAGAGAGAAGGATAGAAAACTTCAGTGATCTCCTTCTGGCTAATTTCTCTTAAGCAAACAAATTACAATTTATTAGCAACTCTCTCAACAAACTATTGGCTACTACATTTGCAGAAACACTTGTAACAACACAGTTATAGTCTGGAATATTGGCAATTTAGAAAATCTACCTCTTTGTTTTTATTCCTATTCTTTTTCACCCCCCAGAGCAAGGTTTTATTTTTTAATCTTTATTATCTGGAAGTTGTGCATGTTATGATTAATATTTACTGATTGAGGCTGGTTTTGTAATGGATCTTTTGGAGCATAGAAGAAAGGCTAGCTTCCCACAAGCAACATGTATTTTAATAGGATGGCCAGTAAACGTTGTTTCACTCTGAGTTCAATTTATCCTTCTTTTCCTAGTTTCTCTTGCCTGCCCCTCATTGCTTTAGTCTGCCCATTTTAGTGTGTATACTGCATGCATGTGTGTATGAGAGAATATGTGTATCTTCTTTACTGACTCTTTCATTCCTATTTACTGACTCTTTCATTCCTATTTCATTCCTACTATCTCAAATCTCCAGAACTTTTTATATTCTCAATTCCAGATTCATGATGTAACCATGATTTAATTAAACACACTCTCTTTGCAGTTCTGATGTCATAAAATAGAAACAATAAACAATTACTCAGTTCAATTCAAACACATTAACTGAGTGTCCTTTAGATCCTAAAGAGTTTGTAAAATCCTGGTACTAGATATAAGAGACAGAGTCTCCTACTCTCCAAGTACTCTCCTTAAATTCCCTGTATGCCTCTAATAGGAAACTTAGCACACTGGTGAAAGTGTTTACTTGTTTGAATTCTCCATTATATCACACGCCTTTCAAAGGCAGAGGAAAAGCAATCTTATGTCATCTTGCAACCTTCAGAGTCTAGCAGTGACTGACTATAGAAGCTCAATAAAAGTTGAATGAACCAAATTTACATAACTTTCCTATGCAGCCAAGGTGGAACCAGTATTTTGAATAATGCTGAACATGCATGGCTTCTTAGCCAAGTTCGGTGCTCTGAATAATTAAATCTAGATGCTAACCCCATATTTCACTGTCTTTCAAACTAATGCCGTTCAAAAAAAAATGAGTGTCCATCTGGTACTCAAAATAACTGAGTAATTCAATCTATTCAGAGAAATAACTCATTAATTTTGTAATAGGTCATTGTCTGAGTTGCACAGCCAAGTGTCCTTGCTGTGTGGCATATTTAAGATGATCCTTTAGAGTAAGATGTTGATCAGGACACAGTGATCAGCCTAGATGAGATGTTGGCTAGATGAGTGCTTTTCAAATTTTAACTTAGTAACTGGATCTAGGCTTGTCTGCCTATTGTGAGCACTGCGTTTTCTGCATTGCACTGTGGCCATGGGTGACAATATTACCTAGAAACTAAGGAAACACTCAAATAGATTTCTTTTAGGTAACTATGAAACAAATACTATTTAGAAAGTTACCCTAAGAAACTTGATAAAAATGGTGCCTAACATGAACCATTTTGGTGTAGCTTTTCCAATTTTTTTTTTTTTTTTAAGATTTATTTATTTATTTATACAAGCACTGGATACAGTCAGAAGCATGGGAGGGTGAGAGAATTCACCAGAGCCAGAGCGGGGAGCAGAGCAGGCAGAAGGACCAAAGTACACTGCTGAGGGGAGCAGCGGGCGGCAGGAGAGGTCTGCGCGCCATGTGGGACCCTCCTCCCGTGGCCGGGGAGCAGCCAGGGATTGAACTGGCGCTGCAGAGGCTGCGGGCAGCTTCACAACCCAGCGCTCAACCGCTGCGCCACCGGGGAGGCCCAGCTTTTCCAATTTTTAAGAGCATGTTTAAGGAATGTTTTCATATGGAAAATAAGGTTTTAAGAACTATATGTAGTTTGGGCTGGGAAGGCAGGATAAAGCAGTGGATTTTACACAGGAATGAGGAGGAAAGTTATTCCAGCACTTCAGATGATTGGGAAGCTTGGCAGTACCCATTTGGTTTCCACAAACAGTTGGGAAGATAGAGATTTGTGAAGAACTATCACTTATGACAAAAATGACTAATAAAAAATTGACTTGTCCCTATACATGGTGATTAACCATGATACAAAATAAACCTGAATGGAAACTACTTGTGATTAAATTTGTTTTCAGTGTTTGTATTTATTAATGCAACAGAACAATTGTTATTTTTTAATTCTTATGTCTGAAGAGAGTATTAACAATTTATTCCTCTTTAGGTCAACTGTTTCCTATGCTGTGTGCATGAATGGAGAATTGTGAATGGCATACTACACAGGTAGGTAAAATATTTCCACCATCAATCTATATTGATTGAAATTTTTTACTCAAAATACTTGTTTTAAAAAGTTAATGATTTTGAGATTTTACTCATTTTCTTTTGATTTCCCCATAAATTTATACACACACACATGCACATATTGAGTATATGCATAGATATAATATATATATCATTATATACAAAATATATGTATTATTATTTAGAAATAGCCCTTGCATATTTCATAAAGCCAGTTCACATAGCTAGGAAGTGTCTCAGCATTTTTGTTTCTTCTACTTCTGACTGGGTTTTTTTTTTTTTTTTTTTAAGATTGATTGATTGATCGATTTATACAAGCACTGGGTACAGTCAGAGGCATGGGGCGGGGGGAGGGGGGGCGGTGGTGAGAGAATTCACCGGAGCCAGAGCGGGGAGCAGAACAAGCAGAGTGATGAAGTACACTGCTGAGGGTAGCAGTGGGTGGCAGGAGAGGTCTGCGCGCCGTGTAGGACCCTTGCCCCATGGCCGGGGATCGAACTGGCATTGCAGAGGCTGCAGGCAGCTTCACAACCCAGTGCTCTACCGCTGCACCACTGGGGAGGCCCTGACTGTTTTTTTGTTTTTTTTTTTTACTTACATACTTCTTGATGACAATAAAACATGAACTGTACTAATGAAATAGCCAACATAAAGAGATAAATGTACATGTAGGCAATTAGTCAGTTCTCAGTTGCATGTAGACCACTTGTGTCATTTTCTACCTAGGAAGCTGTTTTCTTTCTTATTAGTAGAAAAAACTCATAGATGACTTCTGACTCTCATTTAACTTCTGAAAATATCTTAGAATATAGCAAATATAAATAGGAGTAGATCTGTTATTATTATGAAATATATTCTGAAATCAGATATATATGACTTTAAATCCAAGATTACAGGCAACAACTCTACTTGCCATCCTTAGAGCCATATTTCATATTTAAGAATCAGTGAATTTTGTAACACAAGTTTTTAAGTTTGGTGTCTGGTATAAGCTGAGGATGATAGAGCCTGAGATAGATAGATAGATAGATAGATAGATAGATAGATAGATAGATAGATAGATAGAGATTCAACTTGCCTAGCACTGTGTGAAAAACCCATAAAGATTGCTTAATGAAAAATTATGAATGAATGAATGAATTCAACAATATCAATGTTTCATTAACTACCATGTTTACTTATACTCTCTTTGGATTACTTACTATATTACTGGAAGTGAATTGATCTAATCAGATGCATTCTTGGAAAATAAAATATCACAAAGCAAAATAAGTGAACCATTTCTGATAGCTATTTGAAAAAAAACTTATAATGAATAATATTGACAATGGCTCTAAAGTGCAAATTCATCAAATATGAGGTATAATATTTAAATTTTTATTTATTAATGGATATCACAGAGGGAAAAGAGACATTCTATTTTTAATCTCATTAAAAGAAATCCTACCAGTTGTATTTTCTCTAAGTTATGTAAAAAAAATTTATATAGAGATGATAAAGACAAATTTTCCCAATATAAAGAAGTAAATAGACATTTAATTCTACTAGAACCCTTAAATTGAGAGCTGTTATGAAGGACTTTCCTAATATTGTGCTAATTAATTAACTATGATCAGAAGCCAAGTCAAGACTTTCATAATGAAAATGGAAAATACCAGCTGCCTTCAAACAAATGAATCCACACATACATGCACTGTTGCTATTTTAAAATTCAGGCTGAATGAAAATAACTTACCTGACACAAGAACAATGAGAATCTTAGCACTGGTAGCTAAAAGACTATGGAAGAAGTTCAAAGTAGCTGGGATGTCTTTTACATAATACAGCATCTAAACGTGAAGGAAAGAGAAGTGAGGCAGTTTTCATTGTCAATATCATTGTTGCTTAAACTACATAGTAAAACATTTGATTTTCAAGTTCAGTGGATTTTTACTCAACAAAACAGATAAGAGGGCCTACTTGGTGGCACAAGGGGTTAAGTCTCAACACTATCAAGCTGTTGCCAGGCACTGCAGCATGAGTTCGATTACCAGCCAGGGAGCTAATCCACATGGCACAGCAGACGTCTCCTGTCTCACCTGCTGCTCCTCTCAGCAGTGTATTTCAGTAGATCTGCTGGTTCTGCTCCCCACTCTGTCACTGGTGAATCCTCGTAACTGCCCACACCCCACCACCTCTGGCCTACATCCAGTTTTTGTATGCATAAATAAAAATAAATCCTTAAAAAAAAAGAAATTAAAGATGGTAGATAGCGAAATAGAATAATAATATAAAAATAATTTTGGGAACAGAAAACGATGATATTTGCTGAACTAAAGCCAAATAGTTTTAAATTTACTCTTTCTGGCTTTAATAACACATAAATTTATAGCTGAGACACATAGTTTCCATTCAACATTGGGACACTGAGTCTGAACTTACTCCATATTTTGTGAATTACAGTTCTTCTGGGAGAAAAATGGTGCCAACACTATAAAAACAGATCCCATTTCATGGAACACTGCTTTAAAATTAAGCCCTTTGCACTAGCATCACCGTATGCACACAGAAGGTGCTTTTTAATAAATCATAGAAAATGTGACAGACTCTGATGTTGACAGATTCTCTGAAAAATAGACTCAAAAAGCATGGGGTTACATGACTGATCACAAGATTTCAGGGATTAGCTCACCTATTTTTAATAACTGGATCATCTCTGGTGAAATTCAAGGTGAGGTTTTTTCAACAAACACAGATATAACTTGGAATAATACCTCAGTAGTGGAATGTTTTCCTTATGGAATTGTTGCATCTTTAGAATCTACATCCACAGACATAATTCTTATTTCACATCTCCTCTCTTGACCAAAATACAATATTTTATTTTATGTAGATGCCCATGACAGAATTATTGCATAAAGTGAAAACAACTTAAGCTATGCCCCTTTCATATGAATGAATGAAATAAAATGGACCTACACATGGCCTGTGCCACCTTAGGGGACATAGTTATTACAATTTCACTCCATGCTGTTTCCACTCATAGACAGGGTACCCATATATAGCTAGTCCATAAGATGGTTAACAATCAATGATATCACCTGGCTAAAAAATAGGAGGTAGTTCATAACAAATGACCTGAAATTTTTATCTGGTAGATAGAAAGATTCTCTGCAGTTGACCAGTAAGGAATGTCAGGAGAGCGTTAAGACTAAGGAATAATGAAGATACAAGGATATAACACAGAAAAATACAGAGTAGACAAGAGACAGTGGATGAGGATAGTAATACAGAGGAAGCAGAATTATAAGAAAGAAGGAATGGATATGAATGTTTTGATAGAAAAGGGGAAAAGATAGTGATCTCTGAAATTCCAGTATTTTATAAGGAAAGAATGGGATCCAGAGCATAAGTGAAGGGATTGGATCTTGATAAGAGGACACATTTGTAAAAAGAAGGAAGGAAGAAATGTATAGGTCCAGCTATGTGTATAGGTACAGCAATGTTTAAGAGTTTGTGTGGTGAATGATGAGTTTCCATGAGATAGTGTTTATATTTACGCTATTGTATAAAGTGAGGTTGTGAGTTTGAATGAGTAGTGGGGGAGGGATAACAGGACCTAGAGGGTAAGGTATGAAATAATTACCTGAGGATGTGGAAAAGCAAGTTCAATAAAGAAAAATCAAGAGCTTGATGGGCACTGTTAAGTACTTCCTTATAATTACAAAATTTTGTGAGTTAGGAGAGCAGAGATGTACACTTGCCTAGAGAGTGTATCTTATAGTTATTTCTTCCTTTGATTTCTTTTAAGTTTATTCCTGAGATACATGTACTTGTGGACTATAGGAAGAAAGAAGTATCTTAAAATAAGTCAAGTGATGTTCTTAAATAGTAAGTAACATCCAAAGCCTATAAAATCATGTAGGTCAATAGAAAGCAAATGTAGGAGAAATTCTGGGACACTGGTCTATCTAACCCATCAGAGCTACTACAGAATTGTTATACTCTACTGTCCTTAAATCTATCTATGAACTTTTCATTCCTTGGAAATTAATTTACCAAGCAATGAAAAAGATTAATAACTTAGAGGCATTTTGAGGAGAGAAAGCATGCTGTTTTGATTGTTACAGAAAATCTCTTAATAATTTGGATAGATACTGCTCACTTACAAATCATAAATTAGATTTTCATTTTTCTTTCCAAATTAGAATATTAGGTGCTCTTTATACATATTTCTGAAAAAACCTCTTTTCTAAGTATATATAATAATAAGTATTTCCTACCTGAATCATATGAATAAAGTCCCACTTCTGAAGTTCCTTTTTCTCTGTCACTCTCTTTTGATATTCAGATGCTGTCTCCTTATGCCAAGCAAACTTTATGTTCTGGAGGTCTGATGTCTTGGCTACAAGCTCTAAAATACAGAGAAGAGGTGGCACACCATCAATTTTAATTGCAAATGTGGAACCCATTTCCATTTAGAATTTTAATGCAATCAATGTTACATACATAACAGATATAAAATACATTTTTCTTTTTATGTAGCTCTGGGAGACCAGGGAGTTCATAGTGTTTTGTTATTTTTCCCTAGTATTAAATGAAATTAGAGAGGAAAGAATAAGAAATAATTATGAGAACCCTGATCAGATATAGATTACAATATCTCATTAATAATGGAAAATTAACTAGTAAACTTTATCAGTGGAAAATTGATGTAGAACAGGTCTTAGGATTTTATAAGGCCAAACCACAGGCCAAATCTGACCCACCTCCTAAAGATATGTTCTATGCTACTTCCAGAATTTATTACTTAATAGCATTAAACATTGGAATGGTTAAAAAAATCAAAATAATAATAGTATTTTGTGATATGTGAAAGTGACATAAAACTCAAATTAGCATGATTATAAAGTTTTATTGGAACACATCCATGGTCATTAGCTTCTGTGGCTACCTTTGTGCCATGATAATAGAGTTTATTAATTGTGACAAAGACTATGTAGCCTTCTAAGTCTAAAATATTAACTATTTGACCTTTTTCCAAAAAAAGTTTGCCGATTCTTATGTAACACATTAAACATAAACTTTCTAATGGCAGACATTCTGCTTAATTATTTCTAAATGAATTAAATGTCCTGTTTCTAAGAATATATATCAAAAATAGTTGATTACAGTGGAATGGATGTAAAGTCAGTAAAAAAAAATCTAGAAATTCACTATTTATTTTCCAAGTTGTTTAATTATATCTGCTAAGAAAACTAATTTCTTCTCCAAAAAAACTTACATTGAGCATACCACAGTAACACTATTGCTAATGATTCAAGGGACAAACTTGGGATGATGAACCTTTTAGGATAGAATTCGGCATATAGTATATGGGTTTTAGGTACCTTTATATTTGGTAATTTGTTCAATACTTGGTTCAACAACTTCATTGTTGATATGAATTCCTGGATATTGAGCCTGCACTTTGGAGAGAATTTGAAGATCAATTTCACCTAGAAGATAAACATATGGAACAGGTGACATCAACCCAAAAAGAAATTATTAAGAATAATTTGAGCTAGTTTATTATATATCAACAACAAATAGAAGAGCCCAGTATAAATAATGAATAATGCTCAACTCTTAGTCTGCCAGAACATCCAGAGTATAAGTAGAAATAATGTGATTTGAGGAGGGCTATGCTTGCCATTCATTCATTCCTTTACTCATATAACCCCTACTTAATATTTATTTTTATATTACATTAAATCAAAGCTTTCATTGATGATGAGATGAAGTCAACACTTCTTTTTGTATCACTATGTCAGAAGAAACACTGTCAATTATAACTTTAAGATATCAACTAGATGTATCCCAACTTCAGACATGTTAAACAATATAAATTAAAAAATATATATCTTAAAACTGATAGAGTAGGCTAAACAAAAGCTTACAGAGAAGTGAAATATGTCAAGTGAAAATATGTCAGGTACAAAAAAGTGATCAAAAACCCTGATTGGGGGCCTCCCTGGTGGCACAAGGGGTTAAACACCGCACTATGAAGCAATCCACAGCCTCTGCAGCACGAGTTCGATCCCTGGGCAGGGAGCAACCCACATGGTGCAGCAGAACTCTCCTGACTCACCCGCTGCTCCCCTCAGCACTGTAATTCAGTCAATCTGCCTGTTGTGTTCCCCACTCGGTCTCTGGTGAATCCTCTCACCTCCTGCACCTCTGGCCTGCATCCCAGCTCTTGTATGTATAAATAAATAAATCTTTAAAAAAATTTTAAAAAAACCCTGGTTTTGGCCTGGGTGTAAGAGCAAAGGACACAGTAAGAGAAAGGATGGGAGGGGAGGGAGAGACATGGAAAACTTCATGAAAGAAGAGCACTCCTGAGCTACATGTTACAGGCTATGTAGAAGTTACCAAAGAGACTTCTGAAATAATGGAGAATTGCAGATGAGAGGAGAGAAAAACAGAGGGATGAAGTTAGGAAACAGAATGGTACATGTGGGGCCACTGGTGGTTCAGAGTTTGGGAATATTTGGAATGGGGGACAGGGCCCCCAAGAAAATAGTGATCCCGGAAAGGTAAATGGAGAGGAAGTTATGGCAGAACAGATATTCATTAATTCAACTTGACTGTTTACTCTGTTCCAGTCTCTGCACTAGGCTCTAGCAAATAATAAGAAAAACATATAGATACCTGCCCTGCAGGGAATTTAGCCTTTAAGTGACTGCATAAGAGAAATGTTAGTAAGTCTGATAGACTTGAGTTCCAGACCTTCCTTGTCCTAAGTGTAGAAGACCTTCAGCAGATTGCTTTACCTCTCCAAGCTGTATTTAAATTAGAGATAATAATAACAGTACATAATTTAATAACTGAGGTTTAAATGAAGCAATGGTTATAAAGCACAGTGCAAAACAGAGCTGACTCCCCCAAAAATGTTAGCTGTTCATTATTTTTATTACCATTGAATCCCTCTTTATTTTTTTTCTAAATTTATTTATTTTCTTTTTTTGCTTATTTTTGTACAGTAGTTTCTTATTCTCTTAGTGTCTTCTTTCCCTGTTGTTGATGTTTCCAACTTAAGTTTTGCATATTTATTCTCTTTGGATGTTAACCTTCATTTTAATAGAATTATCAGCTGGTAAGATGAGCATATACAAATGATCTTAGTCTTTGATATTTTTTTTTAAGATTTATTTTTTTTTTATTTATACAAGCACTGGGTACAGTCAGAAGCGTGGGAAGGTGAGAAAATTTACCATAGCCAGAGCCGGGAACAGAGCAGGCTGACTGAAGTACACTGCTGAGGGGAGCAGCGGGCGGCAGGAGAGGTCTGCACGCCATGTGGGACCCACCTCCGGTGGCCGGGGAGCAGCCGGGGATCGAACCAGTGCTGCAGAGGCTGCGGGCAGCTTCGCAACCCAGCGCTCAACTGCTGCGCCACTGGGGAGGCCCAGTCTTTGATATTTTAACATAAATAATATTAATAGAACCTTTAGAACAAAAGCATAGGTCTTAAGATGGGGAAGTCTGGATGGAAGGAGATGACAAACAAAAATCAGGAACAAAAAATAGTGGACTAAGAAAAGAGGTCAGTCTAACGGCATAAAGCAAGCCCCAAGTTCTGATAATAGGAGTTAGTGTGTGGGAAAGGCAGGACAGGAAAGAAAGGTTAGGAAGCTAAAATGGAGGATGATAGAGCCTATGTGTGACAATTTTTTTCAAAGCTGATCCCACCAACATGAAACATTTTGTTCTTTCCTGAATAACTCGCTCTGACACTTATTGACTACCTACTATTTGTCAAACACTGTGCTAGGCATTTTATTTGAAATATCTCACCATTTACTCCTGACCACAATGTAAATATAAGTGCCACAGTATAATTCCCAACAGATACGGTAGTTTGAGTAATTTGGTTTCAGGGAATATTAAATGCCTGAATTTAAAATTTTAAGCACATCTGTTTGACTATGGTATTGTTCTTCTAACTACTTCATGCTAGAAGTAGAAATATCGCAAATATTAAAAGGAATGCTTTTTTCCTTTTTACAGTAAGTGTTTTTGAAGAGGAAAATAATAACTAAAGGAAAAGGCTAGAAAAAACAAACAAATTGTGGGCTAATGAGAAATTGTGATATTGCAGTTTGCCCAAAGGACCAGAGGCAAATGTTCTGTCCTTGCCACATATTTTAAAAAATAAAATCATAAATTCTGAGGATTCCAAGTCCAACATTTTAAAATTCAGATAGCTGAAATACAGTTGTTTCCCCCTTTTACTTGATAAGCATTCATTGCCTTAAGATGCCAGGTAAAAATATGTAAATATGTAAAAATAACAATATCATGGGATATAAGGTGTCTTTGTATACCTTGATTCTTAAACTACCCAAAAGGCAAAATGTATCCAGCATACTCCCTTGGTTTGTTTCTCTCTTGTCATTTTTGACCTAGCAGATGTTCTACTGTAGTCAGAGCTAGCCAACACCCCCTCCTAGGCACTGATACAGGACACAATACTAGAATTGTAATTGAGAGAGGGAAACCATGAGCTCCCCTAAAAACATCTAGGATATGTGGACATGAAACAGTTTTGCATTATTGTTAGAGCCCTAGCAGTAATAAATTAACTATAAAAGACAAATAATTTCCTCAAGAGGTAGCATATAAAATTTATTTCTAACTAACTTCAGAAGTCAGGTACCAAACTTCCTGTTTGCCAGGGGACGTTCCATTTTATGTTTATTATTCTGGTAGTCCACTTTGTTTTGCTTCTTAACCCAAGTTTTTCATTCTTAACAAAATATTATTACAATTTTATTTATGAAAATAGTTTTAAAAATAAATTATTAATTGATCAATGTAATAAAAACAACTTGCTCAATAGATATTTCAGAATGCATAATAATTTTAATTATTTTGTTCAATCCCTGCAACTCTCTTAAAAGTATCCTGAGTTTGACAATAATGCAACTGTGCTCATAAGGTACTCATTTTCTGTGCTATTTTTGTTATTTATAATGAATTCTATTATAAGTATTAACAGACATGGATATATAGGTGATGACAGCTAAGTAGGTAAGTAGATAGAAAGAAAGGAAGACAGAGAGCAATAAAGATAATTTATTCCTTGGTCTTATATACTAGAGTTTGCTTTCTAGTATCCCTCAAAAATAGGAAACAGGCATTTTTAAAATCATTTTTATTAACTTTTTCAGCACCAAAAGAGTCAACAGAAAGGCAGTTTAGCTGTATTACAGTCTTTTGTAAACATTTAGCATTTATTTATAAAGAATTTCTTGATACATCACCTGTACTGTTCACTATCCATCTACTGACTCAAGATTTGCTGCTTTCTTAATCCTTCTTTGGTCATCAGCAAGTTTTCCTATTAAAATGTTTCTTTACTTTCTCTTTTCCATCCTTATCACCAATGCCCTTGTCCACACCTAAATTATCTATCCCTTAGACTATTGCAAAAATATCTTACAAGTCAGCCTACTGGTTCAAGTCCAAATTCCTTAACTGAACATGGACTGTCTGATGTTTCCTGATTCTCATCTCAGAATTTCATATTTTGAAACTGTTAGCTCCAGGAACCCTCAATTTCTTGCATTTGCATTTCCACCCTCCCTCTCCCCCATATGCATCATGCTCTCCATACTTTTTATCCTTTGCTCCTGTTTTCTCTTCTAGAAACATTTCCCTTCATCTGACCAATTGGTGTACATATTAAATTCTTCCACACACATCACAACTTACTTTGGTAGATTTTTCTACAGAGCTTGGAAGCATGAGAATCCTTCTGACAGAGACTACCTGTCGATTAATAGGAGTTGGCAACAAAGATAATACCTCTGTGCTCCCTGATCTAAATTATTGCTTTCCTTCACTTATTTTATGTACTAGCAAAGGTTTGATTCCAGTGAGTTTGTTAAAAAGTATCAAATAGTCTAAAATGCTCCATTGAACAGCTGAACAGGTTTGATCATCAATCACTGAAAAGCTTATGAGAGGTTATCAGACCCTACAGTACCATGAGCCAGCAGTAAAGTGATTCAAATAAAAAAAAAAAAGGAGACAATTTGTTCTTTTTCAGCTGAATCCTTCTGAGCAGGAACCATAACATCATGAATGTTTTTCAATATGAGACATTAAGCATCGTGTAAATGTTTTTAAAGAACACACAAGCAAACTAGTGTGTCAGATAATTGGGGGAAAGTAAACAACAAATGAATCAATCAAATTGATTATTGATTAATTCAGAAATTCTGCAAATTCAGGGATTAACAAAAGAAGTGTGGGAGCCCACTTTTAAGTCTTCTTGGAATCTTTGAGATAAATATTTAAGAGAAATAATATATATATATATATATATACACACAATTTTATAGTTGGTCTTTTTTCATATATCATCTTTTATTAAGCATTGCTTGATCCTAATACTAACAATTGTGGTCTACTTATTTTTAACATCCTAAGCCTTTAGATGCATAAACAC